CTCCGATAAAATGCTGTCGTGTGAACGTAGCAAATGGTAGACTACTTGATTACGTCACTGTATATAAATATCTGGGACACTTCATCACTTGTGACCTTAATGACAATGTTGACATTCAGGCCAAATCTCGTCTCTTCTATGCGTGAGGCAACGCGATTATTCGCGATTTTAAATTTGCGTCCTTAGCTGTTAAATGTCATTTATTTTCTGTATTTTGTGATATTCCATATTGTACATTTTTGTGGTCTAATTTTACACTTTGTAGTTTTAACTCTATTAGGAGAGCACACTCACACGTGTTTCGTAAATTATCTGGGTATTCACATTCTGTTGTACAGAGTAATAGGACAGGGTTTGTTTATCTTTATATTAGATCTTTTGATGAAATTCTTCGGAAAAAGACATTTAACTTTATGAGTAGACTGCACCTTTCATCTAACCCCATTGTAACAACAACATTGTACATTTCAATTCAACTTGTATTTTTTTGCTATGGATTTTTTATGATCTGAAATAAACACATAATAATAATAATTATTATTACTTGAAAACAAATACAATTCGGAGCTATTTCAAACACAGCATAAAAAAAAAGATGTTTCCGCCCGGGCTCGAACCGGGGACCTTTCGCGTGTTAGGCGAACGTGATAACCACTACACTACGGAAACTGGCCATGTACTAAACCCTATAATTTTTACACTATAAATGCCGATATTATAACATCAGCGTAGTTTGGGGTAGCAACCTGAAAATTTTTATTTCTATTAACATTTGTCATTTTGTACGAAAACTAGATTTGACATTCGTTGCATAAACCTATTCAAAATGTAATGAACAAGCAGCAATGCGCATGCGCTGACATCAGGCGAACAAAAGAACATCGCCCCTCATGACTTACGGCGTGTCAATGCAAGGCCCTGGTGCAATGGAATCTATTATTAATTATTCCATTTCATACAGTATGTTATTGCAAGGTGTCATTACTTCAACTGAAGCTGAGAACGTAGTCTGTGATGCTTTTCACACCCATGTCGGCGATCTAGCGTATGTTTTTCTGCCAGTGATGAACCAAATAAAAATCGTCAGGAGAACGCCGGTTAAGCTACTAAAACGGCATAAAAATTATGGCCG